ATTTAGAAAATTCAGTTTTGATAATCAGACATTTCATTCAAGCTAACACTTGCCTTTACTGTGATGACGCCCTTTCTTCCGACCTTTTTCATTGCATCAGAAATGATGTTGCCAATTTCTTTGTCTCCATTTGCAGAAATTGTAGCAACCTGAAAAAAATCAAGTTACTTTTCAAAATTAAAAGGTCAAGCTACTGCCTTTCTTCCCTTCCTTTCTCCTAGTAACTTCCAAATTGATACTTCCATCCAGGGGAGGAAGGAATTAATGGTATAAAGTTCTAATGACGTATTGGTTCTTTGTTCAATTCTTCTTTGATTCATTATTGGCTACGTTATTTTGAAGAATATGAAATAATACAATTATTCTTTTAAACAAAACAGTAAAAGAACGCTGACCCCACTGTATTTTTTCCTTAGCAAATGTGGTGATACTACAAATTGACAAAAAACGCTTCTAATGTTGGTGACTGGGTAGTATTGTTTTTCTGAAATTGGTATGATTATGGGGAGAAAAAAATCAGACATTAGTTATTTTAAAATACTTTATTATAATAATATTATGAGAAGTCCTTACCTGGGCAATTTCTTCAGGGGTTGTCACAGGTTTAGACTGCTTCTTTAGTTCAGCAATTACGGCATCAACAGCTAACATCACACCTAGTTCAAGAATGCAGGTTACTATGATGCTTATTCTCTCATGGCTTCCATGTCAAGCAGAAATTGATATTTATGATAAATATTTTAATCCCTTAATAAGTCTATACACAGCTTTTCTGCCCGTGTGCCATTCCTAATCACATGGAGTTGAATGACATGCACTGAAACAGTAACTTTAAACTTACACAATAAAGTCCTGCAACACCAAAATTATTTTGAAAATCAGACCAAGAAAAGGCAGATGTGTATAGTTTTAGGGATCTCACCACTGAACCCATTCTATACTAGTCCTAAACTAATCATGTTGCCTATTTCCAAAAGGGTCACCCAACACTTATCTCCATTAAATGATGCAAAAAATGACTACAATGGGTTATACTTCCTTACTTTCAACACTAAGTACAAGTCATAGTGATAGGAATTTCATGTGGCTATGCTCCTGCAGGTGTTAATTATCTGAAATTCCCTTAATTTACTATGTAGTTATGAAATGACAAAACACTTTTAAGTCAGTTTTTTTTTTTTTGAGACAGAGTCTCACTCTGTTGCCCTGGCTAGAGTGAGTGCCGTGGCGTTAGCCTAGCTCACAGCAACCTCAAACTCCTGGGCTCAAGCAATCCTTCTGCCTCAGCCTCCCGAGTAGCTGGGACTACAGGCACGAGCCACCACGCTCGGCTAATTTTTCTATATATTTTTAGTTGTCCAGATAATTTTTCTATTTTTTTTTTTTTTTTTAGTAGAGACAGGGTCTCGCTCTTGCTCAGGCTGGTCTTGAACTCCTGAGCTCAAACAATCTGCCAGCCTTGGCCTCCCAGAGTGCTAGGATAACAGGCATAAGCCACTGCACCCGGCCTTAAGTCAGTTTTAATAGTCCATTTTACTCAGTTGGGAAAGGAGAGCTAGCTCTTTCTCAAAAGATATGTTACTTCAAGAAAAAATCCAACATGGGGTGCTGGCAATATTCTTAATAACCTTAATTAATGCCCGTTAGTGATTTACACTAAAACTGCTTTTAACATAATGTATTCATCTGTACCTTAAACACTGAAATAGATGAGGTGATGATATATCAGTATGCCTGGGATACCAGATTAATAGTACCCTCTCTTTACTCTCAAGTATCCTAGTTTGGACAATATGCTGCCCTACAGATACATAGCAATTCTACTGATAGGAAAATCAAGTCTTATCTATACCTTCTAATAAATTGCTGGCTTCTTGGTTGGGTAGGGGCCAGGAATATTTTAGTCATATTTTTCTCCTTAACATGTAATGCAGTACCCACCACAGTTAGGCATTCAATCACTTATTTGCTGAAGGAAAAACCCAGTTTGAGATTTTTTTAGGAGGAATGAGAGAAAAATTAACTTCCTAAAATAATAGACACTTTCCTTAGGTGCAAGGAATCGATGCCTTATTATGGAACACTGAAGATTGGAACACCATAATGACAACAAAGGGACATTCCTACCTCTCCTGATTTCCACTGGATTAGCACCTTTGCTAATCTTCTCAAAGCCTTCCTTGGCAATAGACCGTGCCAGTACAGTAGCAGTGGTGGTACCATCCCCAGCCTCTTCATTTGTGTTATTGGCAACATCTTGAACAAGTTTCGCTCCAATATTTTTATATTTATCCTTTAAGTCAATTGACTTTGCAACAGTCACACCATCTTTTGTTACTTTGGGACTTCCCCAACTCTGTTCAATAATAACTGTTCTTCCCTGTAGTTGCAGAGAAAGAAAATATGACAGGATCACACAGTCTAAGGATTATTTAGATTTTTTAAAAATGAGCAATCTTCATAATATGGTAACTACTTCAAAGCATCAACATATTGTATCATTTTTATCACTCCTGCAGCATGACTCTCAAGGGCAAGTTCATCAACATTCTTAGTCTACAGACAAAACCTCTCTACATCTCTGTCAAGACCTTAACTTTGAATGAGATAATATGGGAGATGAAAATCCTATGGACTAAAATTTGTCGTCCTATATAAAATGGACAAGAACATAAGACAAACCATGAAATTTCAGAACATTCTTCAGATCACTTACACTTTAAATTTTGGTTAGTGCCTGTTATCTTTAAAAGTAAGGTGACTTTAAAATTCACTTACTAAAACACTAATTAGCAAGGCAAGTGGTTGTGCTTTTCCAGGTTCACTCAACATATTATAAAACCTTAAACATGGAATAAACAGCACTGGCAGCTTTTGGATTTGAACCAAAGCTGCTTTCTATTCTTAAGGTGTGTAAATATCATATTTTATGCAGTTTGGATCACTTTGGTAAACTGTCTTCAATCTTAAGTGAACCATCACGGGACTCTGTACCACCTTCAAAGACTTCCTCAAAATATTATCCCTCATTACTAAATGAGACTTACAATTTTAAATATGCTTTGTAACAGCAGAACAGTAGAAAAACGATAGGTTAAAGTAGCACGGGGTGGGCGAGGGGATGGAAACTATTGTTTAATGGGTATAGAGCTAAAATTTTCCAAGATGAAAGAAGTCCTGGAGATGGATGGTGGTGATAGTTGCACAACAATGCAAGTGTACTTAATGCTCCCGAACTGTACACTTTAAAATAGTAAATTCTACATTGTGTGTATTTTACACACAAAAAATAGCACCTACCAGCACAGACTTGACGTAGTATCAGAGATAAGCTATACTCTTCCCTCTATACTCAGCACTACTACTGGGAAAGGATCCAAAATTTAACCCAAGCAGGCAAGCAAGATTAATTCTACCTCCAGCTCAAGAACCCGCCCTGAGTTATGAATTACTAACCGATTACATCACACAATGTACAAAATAAAGTTTCAAAAATCAGGCTGAAGTAGTTTAAGTTTTAAGAACATTATGTCTAAGCGCAAAGAAAAGGTTAACCAACAATTCGGAACTCTTAACTGTAAATTGAGTTCTCTTGTAAATGGATACAAAAGTATCGTCCACTGGAGTTCAGTGGGTCTATGTGCGTAAGTAAAATACCATTCCTTAATACTGTAATTACAATAAAACAAAAATACTGATACCTTTGGCCCCATCGTAACAGCTACAGCATCAGCTAAAAGGTCTACACCTTGAAGCATTAAGGCTCGGGCATCTGCACCAAATTTTACATCTTTGGCATAAGCCCGAGTGAGATGCGGAGCCAGTGCCCTGGACACCGGTCTTATCTGGCGAAGGACTGTGGATAATCGAAGCATTTCTAGGGGAGAAAACAAGTAGATGATCAGTTCTAGCACTAGCACTGGTGCGCTGCAGCACAAATATGTCCACCTGTGCAAGAGAAAAAGCAATGTTAGACCTGAGCCTGGCTCACCTCCAACAGTCACTACGGCTGGGTGACTGAACGCAGACACAGCTTCAGAACACGAGCTACTAGCGCAAGCTTAAAGGAAGAGGCAGCCCTCGCGCCTGACTTTCTGGCAGTAACACCAATCACACCAACTCCTTCCCCATGACCACCTACCCCAGCCGCCAAAAACGAGTTAATCTTTCACCGCTATGGCCTTCAGAGCAGACCCATTCCAAATGTGCCCCCTGAGAAACCAAGTGAGCGGGAGAGAGGAAGGTTACAAATTCGAGTGATCGGGGAAGTAAAAGTATTCCTGACTGTGCAAAAAGTGTCTCCACGTATCCACCCGTGGCCACTGTATCAGAGCAGCCAGCAAGGCCGCCATGCTGGGGGCGACGGCCCGGACCACTCCGCGCGACCCCACGTGTCTTTCCTTCAAGACGCCCCCAACAAGGTCAAGAAAGGAAGCGCAATATCCCGCTGTCTGCGGGGCAAAAATCGGTTCCCTCGCTGATTCGACCACCCTCCCCGGTGCCCTGAAGTCAGCCAGGAATGGGTTGCACCAAAGGGCCTACGAGGTACAACTCCCCAGACTCCATCTCCTGGGCAAGCCCTCACTCCCGCGCCAGGCCCCCGATCCGCGCCGCACGTGACGGGAACCGCATGGACCCGCGAGGCCTGGACCAGCGGGCCTGGGCCTGCAGCACCGTGCAGAAGTCCCGGCTCTAGTCCGCAGGCCCACAGTGACCGGACCGTAGCAGAGGAAAGCTCGCTCCGGGGTCGCAGGCGCCAGGCTGAGGCGGCGCGGGGTGGCCGCGTACCTGCGGGGCGGCGACAGGGCGTGCGCGCGGCGCGGCAGGTCGTCGGCGGCGAGTGAGGGACAGAGTGCAGGGCGCACACGGCAATGAACCCCTGTCCCCTCCCTCCGCTTCTTCCCCCGCCCCGCGGCACCGCGTGTGCGGGCGGCTCCCACCCCCTTCCCGTCGGCCCGGGCCCCGCAATCAGCACGCGCCGCGCACCAGCCCCGCCCCTCCCTACCCGCTCTGGGCTGAGCCCACTGGCCCAGCCCGCTCTGGCCAAATTAGGCTAGTTCCCGGGCCGCGCACGCTTCCAGAACTTTCCGGAATGCGCCGCGCTGTCTGCAAGTCAAGGGTCAAATCGCGTCATTTCCGGGAGGGGACGAAAGGATAGTTCTTTCACCTCTGCTGGCCGCCTAGAAAAGCCTAGAAGGAGCTCCTTTTTCTCCCGCCTCCCGGCCCCCGCGTCAGTAGCCTGCGCAGAACCCTCGAGCGAATCGCGGCGCGCGCTGGTGCAGCCGCCCTCTCTCCCCGGGAGGGGCAGGGGCGAGGCGCGGGGGCGGCAGCGAGCGCGCCTGCGCGGGCCCTGGGTTTTTCACGTGTCCCGAGGGCCGGACTTACGCGTTTCTTGCAGCGGCTGCACGAGAGCAGGGTACGGACTGCGGCGGCGGGAGTCATGGTGAGTGTGAGTCCAGGGTAGGCCCAGGGCACGCGGGCCCTGGTCGGTCTGAGGCGTACGGGGACCCAGGGCCGCCCTTTTCTGGGTCAGGAGGGATGGGTTGTGGGGTCAGTCAGTGACCAGTGCCCGCCCGTATCCTTGGAGAGGCAAGGCCCGTCCGACCCTTTCCTCCGCCGAGGGCTCTTTGCACGCGCGTGTGCGGCAGGCATGCGGGGCAAGGGGCGGGAACCCGGACGCACGCGCGGTGTCCCTCTGCTTCTGTAGGGCCTCAGTGGGTAATACCTTGGAGAAAGAGCATGGTTCCCAGGCAGAGAGTGTGACCCCCAACGTTTCCTAAAAATTTCTAGAAAAAACTCGAGGAAGGAAAATATTTGACCTTGTAATAAACCAAGGTTGCCCTTAAAGCTGGTCTGTGGGTTATTTTCAAGTATAATCGAAAAAAGAAAAAGAAAATTGGTCTGGTTGCTGACCAGAGAAGCAACGACGACCCCTAACAGACATAGAGAATGGGGCAATTAAAACTTCAGTAAAGGGGGCAACATTCATTTACGTTTCCTGAAAGAATAAGGTAAGGTTTGGTGTTAATTTTCAAAGCCCAAACTTGTTTGCGACATACCAGTTGCTATCTGTTGAGAAGATGATTGCATATTGTTTTTGTTTTTACTCTTAACATTTATCTTTTTTGCAGGCAGGACAAGCATTTAGAAAGTTCCTACCGCTTTTTGACCGAGTATTGGTTGAAAGGAGTGCAGCCGAAACTGTAACCAAAGGAGGCATTATGCTTCCAGAAAAATCTCAAGGAAAAGTGTTGCAAGCAACAGTAGTGGCTGTTGGATCGGGCTCTAAAGGAAAGGTAAATGGGGGCTACAATGAAACTATTTTTAATTGTGTAAAGTGGAGGAAGAATAATAAGAAATCCTGAGTTATTGAAAGTAGCCTGTCATCTTCAGGTACATTCCTTAGTTCACCTGTAATCTCTCCCTTTTAGGAAAATGATCGTATAACAAAATTGCTTATTTTATATGGTCAATGCGATGTGCTTATTTTATGTGATGGTTTCAGAGTATTAAAATTGCCCTCAATAGCCATTTGGTAGCCTAGTATGACTAGTGTTCTCTTTAAATTCTAAATTTGTGATAAGACAAAACATACTTTAAGATAAACTCGGGGGCTTTTAAGAATTGAGGAGAAACTTGGACTGTTGGTTCAACCTCTAACACACTGAAATTGCCTAAATCTTAAAACCATTTGGGGCCTTAGTTGGCATACCTATGAAAGGAACAGGTAGGACTGTTCTTCCAGGTGTCCTCCAATAAACTGGTTAAACCTCAGGTCTCCGGAAGTGTCAACCACAATACGCAGTAAATTCTTTTGGGAGCAAAAATGTTAACTGCATCGCTCCATTTGCCTCAAAAAAGAAAGTTCTACTAAAGGATTCTTCCTGGTCTTGGGTATAAGAAGGCTTTGGGGAATGGGCGCAGTCCCACTCACCAAATCTGTACTTTGTAGGAAAGGAAATTGAATCACAAAAGAAGTGTTTGTTCTAATTTCAGAAAAATCTCAAATTTTTGTATGTTTGAAGAAGCCAAAAAAAATGGCCATTTGTATGTGGTTTAAAAACTGGTTTACTTACTATAGTTGATAGGTTGTTAACATTTAACAGTTAAAAAGTTATCTTTAGTTAGCTTTTCCAGTATAACTCCCTTGAACCTTTACACTGAAACCAGGTTTTCGTTTAAGCCACTGTACATTATTTCCAAGTGTAATTCTACAGTGATATTTTTGAGTGAAGAACTGCAATTCTAGAATAAATTGTATCACTTTGCCACCAACTGCATTTTAAACATGTTGGATTTGAGTGAGCACATTTCATTAATTGTAGTGATGTGAAAGTTGACTGTATATATTTGGTGAACTAGATGTCTTTGCTGATAAATATCCTTATTTTCTTAAGGGTGGAGAGATTCAACCAGTTAGTGTGAAAGTTGGAGATAAAGTCCTTCTCCCAGAATATGGAGGCACCAAAGTAGTTCTAGATGACAAGGTGTGTAAAATTAATAATTCTAAAAAGAAGTGAAATATTTGTGATTGGCTGTCTTAACTGTGGTTTCTTTATTTGCAGGATTATTTCTTATTTAGAGATGGTGACATTCTTGGAAAGTATGTAGACTGAAATAAATCACTATTGAAATGGCATTGACATGAAGCTCATTCCACTGAAGTTCTGAAATCCTTCATCATGTAAATAATTTCCATGTCTCTCTTTTATAATAAACTAATGATGTCTAAACTGCTGACATCCCGTGTTTAAAATGTAGTTTCACTGTAGTGATACAAATATTTCCAAATAAAAATATGTAAATGAGTGGTTAATCTTTATTTAGTGATGTAAGGTGGTTTTAGGGTTCTCTAGTTTATACTTTTTCCAAGTAATGTGCAGCAAATTCTGGGAGACAGTTTTCTAGGTAGATGCATTTTCACACTGAATTTAGCTTTATTACATGATTGATACTGAAGCAAAGCTATGGATTTACATTTACATTTTAAGAAAACTAAGTAGCAGTATTCTGACTTCAAATTTAACAAGCTTCTATGTGTCTTGTTTTTTTTTTTTTGAGACAGAGTCTTGCTCTGTCGCCCAGGCTAAAGTGCAGTGGCATCATCATAGCTTACTGCAACCTCAAATTCCTGGGTTCCAGTGATCCTCCAGCCCCAGCCTCCTGAGTAGCTGGGACTACAAGTACGCACCACCATGCCCAGCTAATTTTTTCTATTTTCAGTAGAAAGGGGGTCTCACTCTTGCTCAGGCTGGTCTTGAACACATGACTTCAAGTGATCCTCCCGCCTTGGCTTCCCAGAGTGCTAGGATTACAGGTGTGATCCATTGCACCCGGCCCGTGTCTTGTTTCTTAAGTTTTATATTTAGGAAAATTTACTTCCTGAATGAACATTTCCAGTTTTTAAAAACTTTACTACATAATTTACTTGGTAAAAGTCTAAGGTAAGATATCATAGCTAACATTGGCTTCTGTTTTCCAGGGTAGGCACTGTGATGGTAATAGCTAACACTTCAGGAGCATTTTCCAGGTGCTGGCTACCATTGTAGGTGCTTTGCGTATATTGATTTAATTTTTTAACCCTATGAAATGGGTACTATTCTCATAGCTAAGAAAACTGAGATACAAAGGGGTTAAGTAATAACCAAGGTCACTCAGAAGCAGCAAAGCCAAGATTTGGACATAGTCCATCTGTAGATGCTGCTCTCTAAAACTTGATCCTTCATGTCCTCTGCAACCTTCTAAGATACTTCTAAGCACTTAAAACACATCTCAATTGATCCTGGTGATACACCACCGTGATCTGAGGAGTGGGTACTACCAGTGTATGGCACTTAAGTGCCTAGTATACTGTTTGTTAAATTTAGTAAATAAAGTTAGAAGGGGAAAAATAGGTCTAGCTATAGCAGCTAAGGTAAAAAGAATTAACATTTGGACCCAAGTAATCTGTATGCAACCCCTAAACTAAACTGTCAGCTACTAGCTGTTTGTCTTTTTTTTTTTCTTGAGACAGAGCCTCACTCTGTTGCCTGGGCTAGAGTGCCGTAGTGCCAGCCTAGCTCACAGCAACCTCAAACTCCTGGGCTCAAGCAATCCTACTGCCTCAGCCTCCCGAGTAGCTGGGACTACAGGCATGCGCCCCTATGCCCGGCTAATTTTTTCTATGTATTTTTAGTTGGCCGATTAATTTCTTTCTATTTTTAGTAGAGACGGTCTTGCGCTTGCTCAGGCTGGTCTCGAACTCCTGAGCTCAAACAATCCACCCGCTTCAGCCTCCCAGAGTGCTAGGAATACAGGCATGAGCTACCGCGCCTGGCCTAGCTGTTTGTCTTAATAGTCCAACTTATTTTCTAGTTGTAGTTTGGTATAAGCTAGACCGATGATGGTCTTGAAAGGTTGTGTCCTATATTTTGAGTTGAAGTCTAAATGAAGTTCTAAATGGTGTGGAATAATGGTCTCAACTTTTGATCATGTTCCTCATCAGTAAAATATGCTTCCCATATGTGTATTTGCATTTATACATGTGTTAGTACCTTTGGTATACCAACGCTTAATTTTTGTTAAATTTAGATACTAGAATTATGCCTCAAAGGTCTTTCTTACATTATCTAAGTGGGTGATGAGTTTCATACTCTGCCTCATGCAAAGCTAGATAATAGCTTTTGTACATTGTAACCTTGTGAGCATAGATTTTTCTGTTTACCAGTGAGAAACCTTGACTCAGAAGAGATGAGGAAACCATTCTGAGGCGATGCGTACTTGTAGAGTTAGGAATCTGTCCAAAAGCTATGGCTTTCCCATTATTCTCCAGTGCTGTTTTCCAGAGACCCAAGCAAGTTACTTTTGAGATCTAAAGCAATAGTTTCCAAACCTTGGTTCGTCCTTGGAACTACCTGGTATAGTTAAAATTTCAGGGCCTTATCCAAAGCTAAATCAGAACAATGAGAGAATTTTTGTACCACAGCAGTAGTCCTACTATGTGCTTGCCTAGCACAATTGCTAAAGAAATAATTATAGATTGTGAGGTTGTATTAAGTAGAAAAAACAATTTTGCCGTAGGAAACTTAGGGCACTGGGAGTGTGAAACCATGTGTTTCATATTAGCATGTGGCCTTTTACCTTTTGTTCATCAGAATGTGGACAAAGGTAAACAGAATAGGAAAAAATTTAAGTGAAATTTCTGTGATAGTTATCATTTTTAAGCATTTGCCAGGCACTGTTCTAGGGACTTTATGTGTAATCTCGCTTACTTGCATGTAGTCATAGTACCCTTGCAGTGTTCCTGCTTCACAGGTGAAAGAAGGTGCACAGTCAACTGCTCAAGGTGACACAAATTTTAACTAATAAGAGTTCAATTGAATTCAATTTGACTTCCAAGTCTACTTTCCATTACTACACACAAAAGATTTTGGAAATGCAGAAGAACAAAGTTACCAGGGAGCTATTCTGTTTTACCACTGGTAAATTATTAATATTATGGCTTTTTCCTTCTATCGTTTCAGAAAGTATGCATGCTTTACAAAAAGTTCTTTTAAAATTGGTACCATAAAGTTATTTGGTTTTTGGTTTTTGTTTTTTTGAGAAAGGGTTTCACTCTTTCACCCTAGGCTAAAGTGCAGTGGCAAAATCATAGCTCACCATAGCTTCAAAGTCCTGGGCTCAAGTGATCCCCTGTCCACAACCTCCCAGAGTAGCTAGGACTACAGGCACAAACTACCATGCCTGGCTAATTTTTTATTTTTTGAAGAGATGTGATCTCCCTATGTTGCTCAGGCTGGTTTCGAACTCCTGGCCTCAAGCCATCCTCCCACCCAGGCCTCCATCCTCCCACCTTACGCCTGGGATTACAGGCGTAAGCCACAACCCCCAGCCTATATACGTTATTAGAGATACTAACTTGTTACATTTGTTTCCTAATTTGATGTGGTTCTTGTTTATAGCTAGTCAAATACCACAGTACTTTTTTCTTTTGACCATGTAATTGTTTCATAATTTATTTTAGTGAATGGTATATGTGTCTGACTTAGCTTTTTTTAGAGATGAGGTCTTATGCTCTCCAGGTTGGCCTTGAACTCCTGGGCTCAAGCGATCCTCCTGCCTCAGCCTCTCGAGTAGCTGGAACTACAGATGCATCACTGTGCCTGGCTAACTTTATCATTTTTTAAGCAATGAGTGACTTGTCCCAGCTTTATTTATTGGATTATCCATTCTTTCTCACCCCGCCCTATTCTTCCCCTCTCTATACCTCGAAATTTGAGATGTAACCTTTAGTGTAAATTACATCTTTAAATATGTCTATTCCTGGATTTTATAGTCTTTTCCATTGACCTCTCCATTCCACCACATTGCTTTCAATATAAATAGCTTTATGTTTAAGTTTAATATCTGTTAAGGCAAGCTCTCCTTGTATGCACTTACCTGGCTGAGAGCATTTTTTTGGTTCTCAGTAAGAACAGCCAGACTGTTTTCCAGAGTGATACCAAGTCATGCTTCTTCCAGCAAGTTAATTACTGTTTTCACTGCACCTACACCAAAATGGAGTTTTGAACTTTTGATTTATTTGTGTGAAGAGCATTTAAATATGTTTTTCCTAGGCCAGGCGCGGTGGCTCACGTCTGTAATCCTAGCACTCTGGGAGGCTGAGGCAGGTGGATAGCTCAAGGTCAGGAGTTCAAGACCAGCCTGAGCAAGAGCGAGACCCCGTCTCTACTAAAAAATAGAAAGAAATGATCTGGACAACTAAAAATATATAGAAAAAAAAAAAAATTAGCCGGGCATGGTGGCGCATGCCTGTAGTCCCAGCTACTCGGGAGGCTGAGGCAGGAGGATCGCTTGAGCCCAGGAGTTTGAGGTTGCTGTGAGCTAGGCTGACACCACGGCACTCTAGCCTGGGCAACAAAGCCAGACTCTGTCTCAAAAAAAATAAATAAATAAAATAAAAAAGGAGGGCATTAGATTTGTCCCTTAATGTTTGAGTCAAGCTTATTTTTTTTTCCTTAAACTTTATTTATTTATTTTAGACTACTCAACTGCAGTAGTTAATTTTATTTATTTTAAAATAGGTGGCCAGGCACAGTGGCTCATGCCTGTAATCCCAGCATTTTAGGAGGACATAGTGGGAGGATGGCTTGAGGCCAGGAGTTCGAGACCAGCCTGGGCAACATGGGGAGATCCTGTCTCTACAAAAAATAGAAAAATCAGCTGGTGTGATGGCATGCACCTGTGGTCCTATCTACTTGGGAGGCTGAGGCAGGAGGATTGCTTGAGCCCAGGAGTTTGAGGCTGCAGTAATTTGTGATGAGGCCACTATACTCCAGCCTGGGAAGCAGCAAGACTGCCTCAAAAAAAAACCACAAAAAACTGTATAATGTTCCATTATATGGAGGAACCATAATTTATTTCAGCATTCCCCAATGATGAATATTTAAGTTGTTCTAATCTTTTGCAATTAGAAACACTTCTGCAGTGAATAAATGCATGCATAAATAATTTTGCACATGTGTACAAGTATATCTGACAGATAAATTCCTAGATATCTAATTTCTATGTCAAAGAGTATGTGGATTTCAATCATACATGTACACATACACACAAATATATCTCCGAGTTGTCCTTCATAAAAGCTCTATCAGTTAACAGTCCTACTAGCAATGTAAAAGGCTGTTTATTTCTTCTTACTCTCAATAATACAGGATGTTATAAAGTTTTTATTTTGCCAATCAGATAATTTTATTTTTTATTTATGATTATGAATGAGGGTGAAGATTCACGTGTTTAAGAATCATTTCTGTTTCCTTTACTGTTAACTGTTCCT